CTCCTTCTCCTCGCCCTCTTCGCCCTCCTCCTCTTCCCCCTTCTCATCCTCAGCAGCGCCAGCATCCTCCTCATCATCACCACCACCATCACCATCATCATCATCAGCAGCATCATCAGCATCAGCATCAGCATCATACTCATCGCCAGCATCATAATCGGCATCATAATCGGCATCATCAGCATCGGCATCATCAGCATCAGCATCAGCATCATCATCAGCATCCTCAGCATCAGCATCGTCATTATCGGCATCATCACCATCAGCATCGCCATAATCAGAAGCAGCACATCATCACCATCATCAACAGCATCACCACAATCATCAGCATCATCCGGATCACCATCGCCATCACCATCAGCATCATAGTCAGCGGCAGCAGCGCCAGCATCGTCATCATGAGCAGCAGCAGAATCGGAATCATGATCATCATCATTATCATCATAAGCGTCATAAGCATCACCATCCTCATTGCCATCATCATCATAAACAACAGCCGCATCGCATTGTTCCTCATCCCCAAGTCCTCATCCTACTCATCCACCCCATGATCGCCATCGTCATCATCACATGGTCATCGACATCAGTGTGATCAACATCAGCATCAAGATCAGCATGACCATCATTGTTATCATTATCATCAGCAGCAGCTGCAGCATCCTCATCCTCCTCCTGCTCCTGTTGGCCCTGCTCCTCCTCCTCCTCCTCCTCCTCCTCCTCCTCCTCCTCCTCTCCTCCTCCTCCTCCTCCCCTCCTCCTCTTCCTCCTCCTCATCCTCCTCCCCCTCCTCCTGCTCCTACTCCTCCCCCTCCGCCTCTTCCTCCCTCCTCCTCCTCATCAGCATCACCCTCTCCCTCCTCCTCGTCATCATCCTCCTCACCGTGTTCCTCGTCCTTCATCCTCGCAATCATCATCAGCAGCAGCATCATCACCATCATCATCATCATCACCACCACCACCATCATCATCATCATCATCATCATCATCATCATCATCATCATCATCATCAACAGCATCCTCATCATCAACATCATCATGACCATCATTATCATCATCATCAGCATCATCATCGGCACCAGCAGCATCATCATGAGCTTCATCGTCAGCGTCATCAGCATCAGCATCATCATCACCAACATCATCAACAGCCTCAGCATAATCAGCAACCTCATCAGCATCATCAGCATCATCAGCATCGGCGACATGACCGTCATCATCGGAAAGCGCACCATCGTCAGCATCGCCAGCATCATCATCAGCAGCATCGGCAGCATCATCATCAGCATCATCAGCAGCATCATCAGCATGAGCATCAGCACCGCCATCGTAATCAGCATCATCAGAGTCACCTGCAGCATCATCCTCAGCAACAACATCTCATGATCATCATAAACATCAACAGCATCACCATCAGCATCATCATCATCATTATCATCACCATCATCATCGTCATCATCAGCATCGGAAGCATCATCATCATCATCATCATCATCATCATCATCATCATCATCAGCATCACCATCATCAGCATCATCACCTTTACCAGCATCAACATCATCCTCATCCTCATCCGCCTCATTCCCTTCTTCCTCCTCCCACGTCTTCCTCCTCCTCCTCCTGCTTTTCACTTTGGCCCTCCATATCATACAGCTGTCCCTCCTCCAATTCCTCCGCCTCCTCCTCCTCTTCCTCCTTCTCCTCCTCCTCCTCCCCCCACCCCCCACCCTCCTCCTCGTCTTCCTCCTCCTCCTCCTTCTCCTCCTCCTCCTCCTCCTCATCCCTCTCCTCCTCCTCCTCCTCCTCCTCCTCCTCCTCCTCCTCCTCCTCCTCCTCCTCCTCCTCCTCCTCCTCCTCCTCCTCCTCCTCCCCCTCCTCTGTCTCCCCCTCCTAGTCATCCTCATCCTCCTCCTCCAAGGCCTTTGAATTCGCCCTAGATGCCGACTCGTCCCGCGCGGAGCGGGAAGAGACTGCGCCTCGGGTGTCCCGTGGCGGGGACATGAAGATAGCGCTGTGGGACTCGGACCACAAGATGGTCCAGGACGGTGCGAAGTGGCGATGTGAAGTCTGCAGTCAGCGTGTACATGGTTCTGCCTTGCTGGAGTTCTGTCGCACTCCGTGCACCCCGCCGCCAGCCCCGCCAGCCCCACCCCCACCCGTCCTCAACAGTGCCCCCAGGGCTGCGGGAGGCGTTGGGTCGAAGGACTTGGGCGGGAGGGTGTTGCATCCCTCACATAAGCTTGGAGAATGGCCGAAGTATTGCATGTTGTTCTGCCATGAGCTTTTTTTTTCAACACGGAGGGGGAGAGGGAGGGATCCGCTGCCCTTCCAGAGGGCTATCTATCCGGGAGGCACACCATAGCAAAAACAACAACGCTGCGGTGAACATCAAAGCTGGGAGCCGCGTGAGGGCCCGCCGAAGTCGGTCCTCGCAGCGATGCATGCGCATGTATGTGCTGAAAAAAGTGGCCAGAGCCAAGAAAGCGGTGGACCCTGGGACCCATGGACCTGCTGTCTGCCGTGGCCGCGCCGAGAGACCTCTCGGAGGCTCCTGGCGTGTCCTCTCAGCCCCTGGTGGAGCCCCATTGACCCTGAGGAAGAGGTGGGTCTGGGTCGCCCTGCGGGACCCCAGCCAGCTGACGGTCAGCTCCCCTTGGAGAGGTGAGCCGATTCCGCGACCTCCAGATTTGGCGCGAGATGCGCCTGATAATTGACGGTCCTCCCTGCGCCAAGGGTTGCTCTGTTGGTTTCGACTTTCGCGGTGATGTTGGGTGCGGGTGCGGGCTGTGCCGCGGGGACGGCATCGATGCGAATCCTTCCCAGCGAATCCTCCTCCTCCTCCTCATCCTCCTCCTCCTCCTTCTCCTCCTCCCCCTCCCCCCTCCCTCCCCCTCCTCCTCCTCCTCCTCCTCCTCCTCCTCCTCCTCCTCCTCCTCCTCCTCCTCCTCCTACTCGTCCTCCTCCTCCTCCTCTTCCTCATCCTCCTTCTCCTACTCCTCATCATCAGAACCATTACCATCGGCAGCAACATCAGCATCATAATTAGGATTCGCATCATCAGCAACAGCGACAGCATCAGCATAATCAGCATGAGCAGCATCATCAACACCATCATCATCACCATCAGCAGCAGCATCATTAACCTCATCACCACTATCATTAGCATAAACCGCATAATCGTCGTCATCATCATCCCTACCACCATCAGAATCATCATCGGCACAGCAGCAGTATCACCATCATCATCAGCAGCAGCATCAGCATCCTTGTCCACGTCATCAACATCATCATCCTCATCATCATCATCATCATCATCATCACCATCATCATCAACAACATTGTCATCATCAACACCATTATCATCAACACCATCGTCAGCATCAACATCATCATCATCACCAGCATCCGCAAACCCGTCTTGCGCCTCCTCCTCCTTCTCCTCATCCCCTTCCTTCTCCTCCCAGCTTCTCCTCCATCTCATCATCCTCATCCTCGTCCTGGGTCCTCGTCTCCTCCTCCTCCTCCTGCTCCTCGCTCTCCTCCTCCTCGCCTTCCTCCTCCTCCCCCTCCTCATTGTCCGCCTCCCTCTTATCCCCCTCGTCATCCATCACCCTCATCATCATCATCATCATCATCATCATCATCATCATCATCACCACCATCATCAGAATCAGCTTCATCCTCATCATCATAATCATCACCATCAACATCATCATCATCATCATCATCATCATCATCATCATCAGCATCATCATCATCACCACCATCATCATCGGCAGCATCAGCATCACCATCAGCATCTTCATCAGCATGATCACCATCAGCATTCATATCATCAGCATCATCGTCAGCATCATCAGGGTGAGCATCATCAAGAACAACATAATCAGAATCAGCATCATCAGCATCATCAGCAGCATCAGCATCGTCGTCATCATCAGCATCATCAGCATCAGCATCATCTTCAGCAGCAGCATCATCGTCATAATTATCCATCATCATCAGCAACAGCATCAGCATCAGCATCATCACCACCATCATCAGCAGCATCACCATCTATGGAATCATCATCATAAGCAGCATCATCATCAGCATCATCGTCATCATCGTCGTCAGCATCACCATCATCATGATCATCGTCAACAGCATCGACATCAGCATCGCCATCATCGGCACCATCATCATCGTCATCATCCTCATCATCATCATCATCATCATCATCATCATCATCATCATCATCATCCGCATCACCATCATCATCAGCATCAGCATCAGCATCATCATGATCGTCATCGTCATCGTCATCATCAGCAGCATAACCATCATCCTCCCCATCAGCATCATCGCCATCATCAGCATCAACATCATCAGCATCATCAGCATCATCATCCGTACCATCATCATGATCATGATTATCGTCATCCTCATCATCATCATCATCAGCATCATCAGCATCACCATCACCATCACCATCATCATCACCATCATCATCATCATCATCATCATCATCATCATCATCATCATCATCATCATCATCATCATCTTCATCTTCATCTTCATCTTAATCTTCATCTTCATCGTCATCTTCATTATCATCAGCATCCCCGTGTCCCTCCTCCCCCGCCCTCCTCCTCCTCCTCCTCCGCATCCTCCTCCTCCTCCTCCTTCTCCTCCGTTCCTTGCAACTCTCTCGGAGGATGCAAGGCAGTCAGTTCCTTTTCTAGGCAGAATGTCTACTGGATGAAAGGAAGGCCTTTTGAGATATATGAGGAGGGGGCTTTAGACGGGAGGGTGCATTTGCAGCATCATTGATGCATCGTTGGTTTACTCTGGTACTCCTCCTCCTCCTCCACCTCCTCCCCTCCTCCTCTACCTTCTCCTTGTCGTCCTCCTCCTCCTCCTCCTCCTCCTCCTCCTCCTCCTCCTCCTCCTCCTCCTCCTCCTCCTCCTCCTCCTCCGTCTATCCTCGGCATCCTCCCTCCCTCTCTCCGTCCGTCCCTCCCTCCCCCCACCCTTCTCCCTGAGGAGCGAGGCCAAAGGAAGGCGCGCAGGCCCAGCCGCCTCCTCGCCGAGGACCAGACAGGGCGCCCGGCGCGGAGCGCCCTGGGGGCGGAACGGCGCGCCCGCCACGCCACGCCTGAAACACAAAAACTTCGACGCCAGCCGGCCACGACCTCGCCGCGGCGTCGCAAGCCCGCCGCGCGCGCTGGCCCACGCGGTCTCGCTGAAGTGAGGGGGGGGCGGAGGGAGCAGAAGGAGGAGGGAGGGATTATAATGTTTCCTAGGTTCTTCGGGCCTCCCGGGTGGCCCTCGCCACCGCGGCAAAATCCGCCTCGAAGGCCTGGCAAAGACGCGAGGGAGGGGGACGGAAAGGAGGAGGAGGAGGAGGAGGCGGAGGAGGAGGAGGAGGAAGACGGCGCCGACACAGAGCGAGCGCGCAAGGTCTCGCCCAGGGGAGGAGAAGCAGGAGAAGCAGGACGACGACGGCGGCAAGGAGGAAGCAGCAGAAGTGGAGGAGGAATGGGTGGAGAAGGCGGAGGGCGAGGGGGAGAAGGAGAAGGAGGAGGGGAACTGTTTGGGACAGTTTGGGTTTGCCCCAGGCCCGTTTGGGAAGCGCACCAGGTGGCACTGCCCCACAACTCCCTGTGGTACGCATCCCTTCTGGGGACGGGCGCGCGAGAGCAGGAGTGCGCAGGAGGTGTTGAAGAAAAAAGAAGGAGGGCAAGGTGGAGAAGGGCAAGGAACGGGAGGGGGAGCATGGGACGGGGGAGAGGGGGGGAAGGGAAGGGAAGACGGAGGAGAACAAAGAACGCCAGGGGCAGAAGCAGGGGGAGAAGGCACGAGGAGGACGAGGATGAGGAGAAGCACATCGACAGGGCGACGGCGACGGCTAGGGGCGGCAGCCCCTCGCGGTCTCACCGGAACAGGCCCCTCTTCTTCTTCTGCTCGGGGGCGGGGCCCTCGGGCGTCGCCTGTCGCGCGCGCCGCGGGGAGAGTCTCGCCTCGCTCCAACGTTCTCCCTGTCAGGCAAGCACTTCGGAAGCTTGACTGGCAGGGGGCACACAGCAAAACCTGTCGACAACCTCATGAATAGCCCCCCCCCCTGGTCGCACCACCAGACGCGTCTGAGGGCAAGGCCGAGCGCTTCGCCTGAGACTTCCTGAAGCTTAGGAGCTCGCAACAGATGCCAGGATGGAGGGCTGGTGTTTTCTGAATGGGCCTCTCGCCTCAGCGCTGCACACACTCGTCCTGAAGGCCTGCACCAGATGCAAGGATGGAGTGCTGGATGCTTTCAGAACGGAGCCCTTGACTCCGCGTCGCGCACATCTGTCCTAAAAGCTGGCAGGCGTCACACAGATGGAGGGCAGGTGGTTTGCAAACTTTCCGAAGCTTGGCTCCCGCTGGAGACCACCTCGAGCTTGGAGAGCGGATGATTTGAGCACACGGGACAGGCGAACGGACGGAGGGCGGCTCCTGTCTGTCTAAAGCGGGGCTCTTGCTTGCAACAACTCCTCCTCCTCCTCCTCCTCCTCCTCCTCCTCCTCCTCCTCCTCCTCCTCCTCCTCCTCCTCCTCCTCCTCCTCCTCCTTCAGTTCAAAACATCTGGGCCAGCTTCCAAGAATTTCCTAAACTAGGAATGGGCCAACTACTGCTGTTAAGGCTGGAGGCGCGAACGTGCCCAAGACACTGGGCCCCAGCAGGTCGGCTAAGAAACGCCGGCCCAGCGTTTCGGGAAAAGGTTTCTAAACCAGATGCTCGACTGTACTTCCTCGAACCTGATGGCCAGAACTGCAAACTGATGCAACAGTTACACGGACGGGGGGCGGTTCCTTTTCAGAGCGGGGATCCCGCTGGACTACGTGGAACTCTGTATGGCCCAGCCTTTTCGCTCTTCATCTCGTTCGACAGAAAGAAGCAGGGCAACTCCTTTCAAAGTGGGGCTCTCCCCTGAACGACAGGTACACTGGATGCTGGTTTTTACAGGTGGCGCTTCTCGCAGCGAAGAAGGAAGGCCTGTACGAACTTGTGAGGATAGGACTTAGGATGGGAGGGTGTACTGCATCATCGTTGACGCAACCTAGGTTTACTCTGGTCTTCCTCCTCCTCCTCCTCCTCCTCCTCCTCCTCTTCCTCTTCCTTATCATCATCCTCGCCTTCCCCGCCTTCTCCCCACTCCTCCCTCCCCTCCACATCCACATCCTCTCCCTCCTCTCCCTCATCCCCACCCTCCTCTTATGAAGCAAACTCACCATCCTCATCCTCATCGTCCTCTCCATTCTGTTCATCCTGATCAACATCGTTGATGACACATCCGATCTGGTGGCGGATGCTCCTCGTCGCCATCATGATCCTCCTCCGCCGCCTCCTCCTCCACCCCTCCCTCCGCATACGCCGCACCCACCTCGTCCTAATCAGCATCATTGTCATCACCACCACTAGCATCATCTTCATCAGCAACAATATCATTGTCATCAGCTGCGTAATCATCATCGTCTTCCTCGTCGCCATCATCGTCCCCGTGGCCGCTACCGTCATAGTGGACGTGCAAGAACGCTTACAACCATGCTACTAACGATAACCGTCTACCTCCTCCTCCTCCTCATCATCATCATCATCATCATTATCCTCTTCCATCTGCTCATCCTGCTCAGCATCTTGGTCGATTTTACATATAATGTAACTTCTGCTGGCTCTCCACACACCTCCTTGTACTCTATCATCATTATCCTCCACCCCTCATCATCCTCATCCTCGTCCTTCCCATCATCACCACCATTATCACCCGTCTCTTCCTCGTCCACCTCATTCGCCTCATTATTATCGCCGTCATGTAGAATGATATGCCGCCGTGTCAAATGATCGCTCGTATCTGGATTCCGAATCATGCGTTCCTGTCTTGTCATACTCCAGGTCACAATCCTACGCCTACGCACGCAGTCAGGCACTGCAAATCCGCACTCTTCCGTGACGAATCCGTTCTGTGGCTACCCATCTCTCCCTCAGTCAAATGTGGACAGATAGCTGGAATGGGCTTGGAAGGTGAGCAGAGAGCGTCGGCTCGCAGCCGAAACCTCCAACGTGGTGGTTTGTACACTACGCGTGCACCCAGAGCTCTCGACCCCATCCCCACGACCAGTTGTTCGTCGCGGGCCGTTTCTTGCGGGACGCAGCGCCCGAGTGCGGCCCCCACACGCCGAAGTTATCAGAAAACCGTTGCAGAGCCAGGACAAGGTCAGTTTGGTTTCCCCTGTCCTCGAGCGCGTTCTGACAGGGAGTCCAACGCGTACCTGGCCGCCAGCAGCGACGAGGGCTCCCCCAAAGGGTCCAATAACAAGGCGAAAAACATCAACCGCCGGCTCCTCCTCCTCCTCCTCCTCCTCCCTCCTCCTCCTCCTCCTCCTTCTCCTCCTCCTCCTCCCCCTCCTCCTCCTCCTCCTCCTCCTCCTCCTCCTCCTCCTCCTCCTCCCTCCTCCTCCTCCTCCTCCTCCTCCTCCTCTCAAGCAATCTGGGCTCGAGCGCAAGTCCCTCGCCCCCGTGCGCAGGGCAGTTTCTCGCTCCGAACCCAGCCTCGGTACCTCCCCGTGGTGCTTGGGGCACACCACTTCTCTCGGGCTGAAGATCTGCCCGTCTCTCCCGTGATAGAGTGGTGACGAAATCCGAGGTTTCCAGCATCCATGGCGCCATGGTCGACATGCCGCTCGTGTGGGCAGTGTGAATACAACGACAGACTCGAGCAGAGAGACCGCAAGTGTGCCCGCTGTGGACGCAAGGTGAAGCTCTACGTGCTGAGGCCCAAGAGTCCCAGTGCGCCGCCGAAGGGTATCATCAAGAACGTGAGCTTCGCCAAGGATAGTAAGGATAGTGATGCAGGCAGTAACCAGTCCACGCCCCGCAGCTCCAAGGCGAGCAAAGGGACGCGTGGACAGGCAGGTGAATCATCAGCCCGCACCCTCCTAGAGCAGGCGATCGCTGCCGCGCAGGATCCCAAGTTGAAGGAGGCTTTGATGCAGCAGGTCGCCCAGCTCAAGCGCGAGGAGGCACAGCACATGCAGCCCAAGGATGCGCTTCCGTCTCTTCAGAGGGCTGACAGCGCTTGGAGGGATGCCAACAATCGCCATACCCAATCAGCGCAGTCAGTCCTTCGCATTCGTCGGCAATTAGAGGCAGCAGAGCTCAAGGAGCGTCGTCTTGCCGAGGAGCTGGCGGAGGCCACCATCGTGAAACAGCAGGCCGCACGTGCACTGGCAACGGCTGAGGGGGTTGCACCCAAGCCACCAGAGGGGAAGGCCGACGACAAGTGCGGCAAGCCCTTCGAGCTAGTGTACGACCACACGCTGTTCGACAATCTTGACGAGTTGGAATGCGAGTACTCCGAGAAGGAGACCTTGAGGAAGATTCATAGCGAGCTGCAGTCGGCCAAGACCACCCTCGATGGCAAGGCTGATGAGGTCACCATGATGCTCAAGAACGCCCAGGACATGCGCCAGGCCATCAAGGACCGCTTCATGAGGAAGAGGCGCACGGCCGAGGGCCAGGCCGCACCCCCCGCAGCGCCGCAGCCAGGCGAGGCCGCGCCTGCAGCCAGTGGTGGCAGCGGCAGCGGCAGCCAGGCAGCGGCGGCGGCAGCGCCGCAGGCGCCTGAGGGTGCGGCCGCAGGTGCGGCTCCAGCAGCAGATGTCCATGCAGAGCGAGTTCGTGCTGAGGCAGCCAAGCTCTCAGCCGCCAAGTTCCAGTCCCAGCAGCATCTGTCGGAGGACCCGACCCCTGCGTCATCTTGACTAGGGGTGGCATCGAATTGCACGAGCGATGACAAGTATACGCAGCTTCTGTTTGGCAACGTTACCGCCATGGGGGAGAAGGTGTGGAACTTCGTCCGTAGGGCTCGTGAGAATGACACCCATCAGATTTTTTGTTTTGTGGAGACGCACGTTTCCCGCACTGCCTTGCGTGAGTGGACAAAGAAGTCCCGTCAGTCTTGTCTCAGATTAGTTGCCAACCCAGCTCGGGCTACAGGCAAGTCCACGACTGCACGAGGATTCGAGAGAGCCACTGAGGGAGGCGAGTGGATTTTGGCCCCTGGACACTACCAGGTGCACTCACTTGCCCCCCAGCTGAATTTGCCAGAGTATCAGTTTGACGGCCAGTCGGCCACCGACGGCTTCACGGCAGTAGTTGTGCACATGTCAGGCTACTCGACCGTGATCATTACATTCTACGGTTTCACTTCGGTCGGCATGACCGACGACAATATCGCACGCTTCTCGAAGCTAGGAGCTTTCCTGTCATCACCCCAGTTGCCCTGGATCGTTGTGGGAGATTTCAACGTGTCTTCGACATCTCTTGCCGCATCGGGGTTTTTAGCACGAGTCGGAGGCGAGGTCGTGAAGGCTCCCATCGATTACACGTGCGACGCTGGAAAAAGTGGCAGCCACATTGATTATGTTGTGCGTAGTTTTGCAGCCGCCGCGTACCTTGTAGATGTGCAGGCGGTCCTGTCTGTCCCATGGAAGACCCACTGTGGTTTGCAGCTGAGTCTCCGATCGTCTGCCAGACAGCTACTCACACGCCGACTCGAGCTGCCAGCTCGCCTCCCTCAGGTGCCTAGGCCAGTCCGTCTTCCCACGCCTGGGTCGAAGTCGCAGCGTGCCAAAGTTGAGCGCACAGTTGCCACTCAGCTTGCAGTCGAGAAGCGTCGAGATCGGTATCTAGAACTTTTTGGCGACCTCTGGAAGGCTGCCGACGATGACAACTTCGGATCTGGCACTTCCAGCACGGCAGCTCCAGCTTCGGACCCAGACAGTGACGATTTGAATCAGCTCAGTGAGGACCCCCTTGACCATCTCTTGGATGGTTACGAAGAGGAGGACCCTTGGGCCAATGAATCTTGTTTCCACCACCGCCCTAATACTTCGGAGCCCGCTGCCCAGGGTGCAACCAGCAGCGAAACCAAGGTGGATCCTACTTCGTCAGAGCAAGGCAACGTGTCATCGAGTTCTACGGGGGCTGCCGTGACTACGTTCCCCACTGGACACGCTGGCGTGGACAGTGGAGTGCGTGTTGAGGCAGCGCCCAGCGGGGTGGAGCCCAACACTCGGCCTGTTGTCTGGAATCCTGAAGCTCATGTTTTCAAGTTACCTCAGTATGCTCCGTGCATTGAGTGGGGTCTGGTTCCTCCAGTGGATGCTGGTACACCGTCAGTTCCCAACGAGTCGACCACCCATCCCAGCGAGTTTCAAGAGCCGCCCCCCCAAGGTTTGGAGAACACCGAGGTCAGCTTCTTTATCCCAGCCGAGACCTGGATCGAAGCCAGGACGGCGGTCGGGTTTATCCCTGAAAACCAGTGCCCTCCCCCCATTGCTTTTGCCTCGTCCGTAGCCGCTAGGCTTGAACCCTCGTCCGTCGGCCCAGTCTCGGCTCTATATGCCTCATGGGTGACGACGTTGGAAAGGACGGTGTACGAGCATCATGGAGTGGACGGCCCGCCTTCGTTATCACGTGGCAGAGGGTATTCTTTCAAAGTCGTTGAACAACGTGTGCCTAATAAAGGTAGGTTAGTGCCGTATCGAGATGTGGTTGCTTCATGGTGGGAGCGAGTCCACACGGTTCTGCACAGACTAAACAACCATCGTACACGGGGAAACGGCTATGCCCAGCAATCTCAATTGCAAATTGCGTGTCGTAATTTGTTGGATGAGTCACCTGATCAGGCCCACAGGGGCCTACGCGAAGGAATCGACCCGTCTTGGGAGGTGTGGAAAAGTGTGCTGTCTCAGGGAGCTCCAGAACACCAGTATAAGCTCGTAGATTTTGTTCACTCGGCTAGGAAGATAGCTGCTCGCTGTCGCTGCCGTGCCATGCGAGCCTCGATTGCTGAGTTCCGAGATTGGATGGTACAGCCAGCTGCATCAGGCGTCTTGCACCGTGCGATGCGGCAAGAACCTTTGCCCTTAGACGAGGTCACAGTCGGCCAGCAAGTTGCATTTCACCCACGGGGTATTGTTGATGCCAAAGCGAAGGTTTTTAGAGACCTCTGGGCCCCTGGACCTCTGGAGGAAACCAAGGTTCTGGAAGCTTTCGAGCGAGCCCGAGTCGAGGCTCGTCAGGATCCCCTGGAGCCAATCTCAGTTTTGGACATTCGCCAGGCAGCCCATGCGATGCGCCCTCGCGCAGGCATGGGTGTCGATGTCTTGTCGCCGACGGACGTCGAGCGACTGCCAGATGTTGCCCTGGACGAGTTAGCTCGCATGTATGGAGTGATTGAGGGGGCCCTCACATGGCCATCACAGTTGGGATTAACCATTGGGCGCATGATCCCAAAAAAAGCCTCAGGGGACAGGGTCATAGGGCTGCTCACGATGGGTGCTAGAATTTGGAGTCTCACACGCGAACCCCTGGTCAAGACTTGGGCCAATGAGCCCGAGCCCATGTGGGACGCTGCGATTTCAGGAAATGCTGCTTTACGAGAGGCTTTTATGAGAGTCTGCGAGGAAGAGGTTTCAGGCACCCTTGGGATTCCCACGGGCCACGGGCTTCTGGACATCCAGGGTTTCTACGACGCCATGGAATGGTTTCTACTTATACCTGCAGCAATACGTTTGGGATTTCCGTCTGTAGTCTTGGTGCTAGAGCTTGTACAATGCCTCATGCCTCGTGCTGTAGGTCAATGTGGAGCTTTCGCCGAACCCATACTCCCAACGAGAAGCATTGTGCAGGGTTTACGAGGAGGAACCAGGTTTGCGAGGTGCCTTACATATTTTACCTCATCAAAGATTACTACCGCGCATCCAGGTATGGGTTCGAGGATCTGGATAGATGATCTATCTCAGCGGGCCCATGCATCACGAGCACAGCTGCGCCAAAGATTACTATCAGGTCTTTTGGACAC